GTGGAATCTAAAAAAACCAAAAACCAAAAAAAACATAAATATAAAACAGAAACAGACTCATAGACATAGAATACAAACTTGGTTGCCAAGGGGGTGGGAAGGGACAGACTGGGATTTCAAAATGTAGAACAGATAAACAAGATTATACTGCACAGCACAGGGAAATATATACAAGATCTTGTGGTAGCTCACAGCGAAAAATGTGACAATGAAAATATGTATGTTCATGTATAACTGAAAAATTGTGCTGTACCCTGGAATTTGACACAACTTGTAAAATGACTATTGCTCAATAAAAAAAATGCAAAAGAAAAAAGAAAAAAATCTGGATAATCTATAAGAGCAGAGTTTTCGTGACTACATCAGAGACATGAAGCCGCAAGTCAAGAAAGTAATCTGAATTCCAAAGAGGGACAAGTCCCTCCAGGGAGAGATGAGACACTCAAACCATCTCACCTTTGACAGGTAAAAGTTGTGGCCACCATACCAGAGGGCAAGAGGTCAGCTAAAATTTTAACAAATTGCTGAAGCTCTAGTATGGGCTAATGTGTCAGTCTGGGAGGGATAGTGGGGTGTCCCAGACACAAGGGGAAGTTGCATGTATGGGCAAGCTCTTTCCTTGGGCCGTCAGGGGATGATGCTAAGAGAATGTCTGGGGACAAGATACTCCCTTGCATTGCAGGTGAGAACGAGGTGACCTATGATCACTAGAGGGTAGAGACAAAGCCCTGCCTATTTCCTCGGACACTGTTCTCTTTACAAAGCAAAAGCCTTAAGCAGCATGAGGAGGAAGCAACAAATCCTTCTGCCCACAGACACCATGCAGAAACCCACCGATTTCGGGGAAGAATAGAAGCAAAATCAGTCTGGCTCTAGGAGTCCCTTTGGCCCCTAGGATCGTCAAAAATAACTGTTACACACAAAAGGGTAGGAAAAAAATATCTGCCGAGATGGGAGGAGAATAAAAGGTTCTTGGCCCCAAGATCTGAGTCCTGTAACAAGAAAAAGTCTGTTCTCACTTGGGCAGGGGCAGGAAGCTCTTGCGCAAGACCAACCTCACATAGGAGGCTGAATTTGCTTAAGACAGGTCAGGAAAGTAAAATATGAAACAGCCTCGCTCCTGCTCAAAGTCCGGCACTGAGTGACACGCAACAGCCGCCTACCCCTGGAGGAAGGGCAAGTGTATGGAGAGACCCTCTGCCATGCAGGCATCCAAGGACACCTGAAGTCCAATGGCGAGTGGGAGCACTGAGAAAAACTCTCTGGCATCCAAGGGCCCACCCTATGTGGGTCGAGGAAGAGGCAAAAACTAGACCTCCACCCCAGGGTCTGAGAACAAAACAGACGTGAGGCTCTAAGCACAAGGTATCAGCAGCCCGATTCCAAGGAATCTGAAAGGCAGAGTGCCCTGAAAGTGACAAGAGCAACAGCAGAACCCCAGTCCAGCTCCAGCTGCAATCTGATCGATTGGAACGCTCACACTAAATGGCCTGACAAAAAGGCATGCCCGTTTCCAGACAAATACCACTTCAGCCTTCACTATTCAATACATGGTGGCACTCAGTCAAAAAGTCTGAAACACACACATTAAAAACAGAAAAACAGCCCAGGAGAAAAGACAAAGCAATCAACAGAATCAGACGTAGACATGACCCAAATGTTGGAAGCGTCAATCAGTGATTGTACAATGACTATGACTAACATGTTAAAGTGTCTAGTTGGAAAGGCTAGACAAAACACACAAACAGATGGGGAATTTCAGCAGATACACGGAAACTTGAATAGCCAAATGGAAATCAAATGAAAATGCTAGAAATTGAAAAAGCACATATCAGAGAGGAGAAATTTCTTCACTAGACCTAAAACAGCTGAGAAAAGAAACAGTACAGTTGAAGATAAATCAAGAGAAATTATTTCCATTGATACACACAGAGAAAAAAGGTTAAGAAAAAAGCAGAATCGAGCATACAAGACCTGTAATACAATATTAAATATCATATAATCTAACAGTATAATTGGAGTCACAGAAAGAGATGAGAGGGGGAGTCAGAAGAAACATTTGAAGACGTAACGGCTGAGAATTCTATTAAGTAAGGAAAACATCAAAGTACAGATCCAAGAAACTCACAGAATCCTGAAAGGCGTAAATACCAAACAACACACAGCCAGCTCTATCATAGCCAAACTGCTTAAAATCAAGAATCAGAGAAGACTCGGGGGAGGGTACAGCTCATGTGATAGAGCACATGCCTAGCAAGCATGAGGTCCCGGGTTCAATCCCCAGTACCTCCTCTAAGAGTTAATAAATAAATAAACCTAATTAATCTGTCCCCCTCAAAAAAAAAAAACACTAAATAAAAAAATATTATCACATTAAAAAAAAAAGAATCAGAGAATACTAATCTTCAGAAACTACGCAAGTCAGAACTCAATGGAATGGCATCTCTTCAGCCCTGAAAAATAAAAAATCAAGAGCAATCTTAGAATTCTATTCCCAGCGAAAATACCTTCCAAAAGTAAGGTGAAATAAAGATTTCTTTAAAAGACCAACAAAAGCTGGGACAACTCCATTGCCAGAATAAGAATTTTCATACACAAGTGAAACTGCACAAAGAAATGAGAATCAGAGATGGTAAAAATCAAGGTAGACAAGATTTTGGTTTTTTCCTTTTAGTTGCTTGAAAAGGTAACTGATAACCTAAGGCAAAAACAGAAACACTATATTGTGGGCTTCGCAACTTCTGTAAAGGGAAGATATGACAACAGCAGCACAGAGGAAGAGAGGAAAGAGCTGGAAGTCCACTGCTGTAAGGTTCTCAGACTGTGCATAAAGTGCTATGATATTACTTGAAATCAGGTATGATGAGTTAAAGATGCACATTGTAAACTGCAGGGCAGCCACTAAAAACTAAGTTAAAGAGGAACAACTAATATGCAAATAGTGTAAAATATACTGATTCCTGGGCCCCAGACTAAGAGATTCTGGTTTCATTAGTCTGAGGCAAAGCCCAAGCACCGGTCCTTTTTTAAAAAAAAATCCCCAGTGGTCCAGTTATGCCCAGATAGTCTAATACTGAAAACTGCTGCAGAAAAAGATCCTTAAGTAACTTTAAATTTGATATAGTCAGAAGAAGGAAAACAATAATAATATAAAAGTTCATGGCTTACAACATAAAAAAGAATAAAATAATGTCATTTGCAGCAACATGGATGGACCTAGAGATTGTCCAAGTGAAGTAAGCCAGAAAGAGAAAGAAAAATACCATGTGGTATCACTCATATGTGGAATCTGAAAAAAGAAAAAAAAGGACACTATGAACTCATCTACAAAACAGAAACAGACTCACAGACATAGTAAACAATCTTATGGTTACCGGGGGAAAGGGGCTGGTGGGAAGGGATAAATCTGAGAGTTTGAGATTTGCAAATGTTGGCCACTATATATAAAAATAGATTAAAAAAACAAGTTCCTTCTGTATAGCACAGGGAACTGTATTCAATATCTTGTAATAACTTCTAATGAAAAAGAATATGAACATGAATTTATGTACGTATATGCATGACTGGGACATTGTGCTGTACACCAGCAATTGACACATTGTAACCGACTGTACTTAAAAAAAATGATCATGGCTTACAAAATATAATCCATAATCCATGATCCTCAGTAACACATAATGTGGATATGTCAGGGATCTTCCCATTTTACAAGTAGGGAACATGAAATTGCATGAGATGAACCTCTAACTTGTCCAGGATTGCTCAGAAAGTCTGTGGCAAAAATGAATTTGATATCAGCCCCGCAGCCAGTGCCAGGAGTAGGGGGAGGCTAATGAGACACCGAGGGCATAAAATGTGAGAAGGCCCTCCCTCTCGGGGTCATGTTCGAGCAGGGTCAGCCATCCAATCAGGTCTCCTTATATTTTGAACCCATACTTACCTCTCTCAGCCCCAGCCCTGTTCCTGACTCTTGGTTGGTATTCCTTCTAACACCGCCATATGACTCTGTCATTTAACTAGTGCCACTCTGTGCTACTCCTCTACACCCCCTTCAGCAGTGGTGACAGGTGGGTGGGGCAGTTACTCTCATTTAGCTGCTTCTGACCCCTTTCACTTTACCCTCTGACCCAACCACTTCCAACTGGTGTTCGTGGAGAGCAGACTGACATCACATTCACCTTACGGTCTCTGATGAATGAGCCTGGCCAGAGTAGAGAGGAGATCTTCAATAAAGGTTAGTGGATAAAGTGTGCTGAGGTGACAAAGCGCATTATTTTTAGCAGATATCTAGCTGTCACCCTCCAAGGAGCACTGTCCCTTGAGGCAGTGGCCTTGTGCAATGCAACGGAAACGCTTAGAAAGCTCTGCTTTGTGGACGTGGGTGGGGCATCTCTTTTATTATCTTCAAAGAAGCAAATCAGGATT